GCCCAGGACAGGAAGAGCCCACAACCATGCTCACACACCAATCAGCACACCGACACATTAAGTGGTACTTTGAGACTCCTCGTCTCGAGACTCCAACCCGGTACTTTTGGGATTCTAACCCAGAGACTCCAACCCGGTACTTTTGGGATTTTAACCCAGGGACTCCAACCCGGTACTTTTGGAATTTTAACCCAGTGACTCCAACCCGGTACTTTTGGGACTTTAACCCAGGGACTCCAACCCGTTTTAGAGAGGGGGACCTTATTCCCTCGGCCAATTTAGAGTTCAGGGGTCCTGAATTCCCCGGGTCTCACACCCAGCTTTTCTACCGCTCGTCAGCAAGTACTGGGGTTGCCACACCAAGGACAATGCGAGGGTCCCGTACCCTCTGCTCCTTAAGGTCCTACTTCACTGCAGGGGTCCCGTAACCTCCGCTCCTTAAAGTCCTACTTCACTGCGGGGGTCCCGTACCCTCCGCTCCTTAAAGTCCTACTTTACTGCACACAATGACATAACCAATATGCAGATTTTGATACAACAGGCTCTGCTTACCTCTTCTAATCGGCACCTCGCAATTCTCTGTGTCCAAGTGGGTTGCATCAACACTTAGCCGAATCTTGCGAATCTCCTGCTAATCCCAGATGAGCCCCCAAATTGTTGGAGTACGCCGTCTCCACCGGGTCCATGGATGAGACAAGATTCACAGCTGACACGTGGAGAAATTGCAGGTCACCAGTTTATTCTCTGACAGGTTGCAATCCGGGAGCGGCCCTCCGACATACATTCAGCATGTACAGGAGGAAGCTCAACCATATGTATCAGCTGTATCCCTTTTAAAGCCATTTGGGCATCCCCCCCACTCTCGGTACCTTCCATCTATGTGACAACCACATGTTTGACATTTGCTCTAGTTAGTCGGTTAGTACTTGTCCTTGTGGAAGGCTACAGATAAGTAAGGGCTGCTTACATTGTCTGTCAGCTCCCTCTATCGGTCTCGATGAGGTCACCCTGCCCTGCTGGCACCAGTCAGTTCTCGTTTCAGTTAACTGCATTTTTTAGAATCAACCCCCTCCTTTCATCATGCCCTGCTTTAAGCTATATTCTCCTTTTCCTCTATTCATTGTATGTTCTTTATAATTCTATTGAATCCCACAACCCGACATGCCGCCGGCCTGCTCAAAAGTTGCGCGTCAAATGATAGCCTGATGTGGCCAGCACTCACGCAGACACACATTTCAAAATGGCGGCACCAACGGTGTGCCTGTTATTTCAAATAAACCCCTTAACCATTATGTTTTTTAAGTAATGAAACATTTTTCTGCCAATGTGAATAATAAAGTAAATCACCCTAAGCATTTCGACAACAAGAATAGACAATAAGTTTTAGGGCTAAACTCATGTGTTTTAGCAAAATGTGGCATCAATGATCTGTCTGTCCTATTTGCATATATCACAGCAAGCACGAGACATAGTGTAAAAGCTTTTGCTTCAAGATTCGATATGGAAGTTAACCGACAAAGTTTTGCAGATTTCATAAAACAACACACCGCAAGAGAATTGCGTTCGATCCAGCAATGGGCCCTTCTGCCTAACCCAACATGGGCGCCTCACAAGTAGTGATGGCCGATTCACGAACTAATCGTTCTTCTTAACTCGGTTTTTTTAGTGAATGGGTGCTTGTCTTATGAGTTTTAAGATTTCCGTCTGGTGCCGAGAACACCCAAACGGCCGAGTACCTGGTCTCTAACTCGCTGACTCCAAAAAACCCGAGAGCCTGTTCGATGAACGAATCGAAGTTACGGGTTTTCGGACACTCTGTGAATCAATAGAGCCTGTTCGATGAACGAATCGAAACTTATGGGTTTTCGGACACTCGGTCAGTGAATCAAACGAACGGTTCGCGAACCGATCCCAAGAGCCCTCGCGGCGTTTACTGTGGAAATGCAGTCACACTGATGAATAGCGTAAAATAAATGCATCTATTGCTGATTTATGAAAGCAGTATAGTTATTAAAATTATTAGATTAGATTAGACTAGATTGTACTTTATTAATCCCTCGGGAAGGTTCCTTCGGGAAATTTAGTCTATATACACTCACCTAAAGGATTATTAGGAACACCATACTAATACGGTGTTTGACCCCCTTTCGCCTTCAGAACTGCCTTAATTCTATGTGGCATTGATTCAACAAGGTGCTGAAAGCATTCTTTAGAAATGTTGGCCCATATTGATAGGATAGCATCTTGCAGTTGATGGAGATTTGTGGGATGCACATCCAGGGCGTGAAGCTCCCGTTCCACCACATCCCAAAGATGCTCTATTGGGTTGAGATCTGGTGACTGTGGGGGCCATTTTAGTACAGTGAACTCATTGTCATGTTTAAGAAACCAATTTGAAATGATTCGAGCTTTGTGACATGGTGCATTATCCTGCTGGAAGTAGCCATCAGAGGATGGGTACATTGTGGTCATAAAGGGATGGACATGGTCAGAAACAATGCTCAGGTAGGCCGTGGCATTTAAACGATGCCCAATTGGCACTAAGGGGCCTAAAGTGTGCCAAGAAAACATCCCCCACACCATTACACCACCACCACCAGCCTGCACAGTGGTAAAAAGGCATGATGGATCCATGTTCTCATTCTGTTTACGCCAAATTCTGACTCTACCATTTGAATGTCTCAACAGAAATCGAGACTCATCAGACCAGGCAACATTTTTCCAGTCTTCAACTGTCCAATTTTGGTGAGCTCGTGCAAATTGTAGCCTCTTTTTCCTATTTGTAGTGGAGATGAGTGGTACCCGGTGGGGTCTTCTGCTGTTGTAGCCCATCCGCCTCAAGGTTGTGCGTGTTGTGGCTTCGCAAATGCTTTGCTGCATACCTCGGTTGTAACGAGTGGTTATTTCAGTCAAAGTTGCTCTTCTATCAGCTTGAATCAGTCGGCCCATTCTCCTCTGACCTCTAGCATCAACAAGGCATTTTCGCCAACAGGACTGCCGCATACTGGATGTTTTTCCCTTTGCACACCATTCTTTGTAAACCCTAGAAATGGTTGTGTGTGAAAATCCCAGTAACTGAGCAGATTGTGAAATACTCAGACCGGCCCGTCTGGCACCAACAACCATGCCACGCTCAAAATTGCTTAAATCACCTTTCTTTCCCCTTCTGACATTCAGTTTGGAGTTCAGGAGATTGTCTTGACCAGGATCACACCCCTAAATGCATTGTAGCAACTGCCATGTGATTGGTTGATTATATAATTGCATTAATGAGAAATTGAACATGTGTTCCTAACAATCCTTTAGGTGAGCGTATATATGTTCTTTTTGTATGTGTGTCTATGGGGATAAGGGTTGTAGGGAGAGACTGCCATTTGTTTTCTGCGTGTATGGCGTTTTTGTCCCTGTTTTGTGATTAGCGAGGGTTAGGATAGTGTTTGTCTTTTGTTTAACTTTTTTTTTGGGTTAGGGAAGTTTGTCGGTACGCGGGTAGTTAATTCACTGGATTTTGTTTATTGTTTTGGCCGGTGTCACTCCTGAAGCTCACCTTTTTTCCCAAATATACACAGTGTTACCATCATCATCACCTTGGGTGTTAATTATTCCCTCACCTCCTTCTCCTCTACCTCCCTGTTCCCTGTTTCCGCCCCGTCCCTAGACCGGGACGTAACACAGTTCAAGAACTATAAATCTCTTGAAGCCCATGGACATTTCATCAATGGCTGGGTGCAGGATCTGTTCACATTTCGAACGCAGGACTGCGACAACACAATCGTCACTGCAAAGGTACGCTAGCTTGTAATCAAGTTGCAAACAAATCTGTACAGCCTCGAACAAAGGAGACTAAGGGGGGACATGGTCCAGGCATATTAGATTCCAACAGGTCTGGATGCAGCCAAATGTCTACTTCAATAAATTTCTTATGTTCAAGTTATTAGTAATTATATGATGAAGTTAACTGTAATCATGTAGACAGCCTTACAAATGTAAAATAAATAATAATACATGGAATAATTTAACACCTCCTCTACCTGCCGTCCATATCTTCTTTTCCAAGTGGGAATCCGAAAAAATCTTATGTTGTGGTCCACCTTTCTGCCTTGTGATTTAGTATGACAGCCTTTCACACAGCACGAGTATCCCATCTTTCGAAGGATAAAGGCGGATGCAAACGCTTGCTCTTGAGTTATATACCTCCAAAATGGCGATTCGACCCACAATACACTGCGACTATAGCGAGTGTGACGTCAACTGTCAAAGACCGATTTATGTTTCATATTTGCCTGTTTTTTCCCCTACAGATCTGATCTGGTATTTGGTACAGAAGTAATGCGTAATGTTTTAAGCGTGTAAAGTTAGCTATGGTAGAAATTGTACAATCGTCAATATGACACGTGTACATACTTAAAATTGCTCAGTGCAATAAGACGACGTAGCCGTGGTCTCGCATTATATAAACTTTGTGCTTTTTTTAAAATAACTGATATGTCATAAAAAAAATACAATACAGCTTTTTGATGGATCCATTTGGTCAAATCACTACATAATGCATTTCCTCTTTCCGGTAAAGAAGACTGTAAAAAGGCGCTGCGAGGGCAAGTCTGTCTCAAATCTTTCTTGTGACAATTTCCTTCGGTTTATGTGCATAGGGCGTGTTGTGAGGGTGACTCGGTGGGAGTGTGACTCAAAATGAAGGCGGAGTGTCGAGGGTATAGTTTGGGATTGGGTCACTGTAAGGTGTGGAGCTCCACACTAAGCGGAAACATGTCATCTCCACAGTAGGCGGAAACACGTGGCTTCAAATTTGAACATGGTTACGTCGCACGAGAAATGTTTTTGTGTTGTATCAATTGCGTTTTTGTTACTGTTGATGATGCTGAGAAATAAACATGGTTCTAATTAAGTGTTTTTTAATGCGTAAAATGTATAAAAATATTATTGATTAATACATTACTGTTAATAGCAACTGTAAGCTTTTTATTTTAAAGTTACAAGTATAAACAATGCTGTTACATTTACACTGTAATCTTTTATTTTAACTTCTAGTAGTATAATTATGAACATGGAAACAAGTGAACAAAATTTTGAAATACGGTAAGTTTAATTGTAATTTTGTATTTACATTGAAAAAAACAACACATTAAAAAACAAACAGCCAGTGACTTCCTCCATCCATTATATTTCAAACAGCATTGACCCTTAGTCCCTGCTCGTCAACACATGCCTTTAGAAAGTGCTCCATGTCCTCCGCACACTGAAAAACAAAGATGAAGAAGTCCCTTGCTTCAGTGTCTTCTTCCAGCATCTCTCTTAAGACCCTCTGCTGGTCCTCTTTATTTAAGGACAGATATTTTGGCGTGGTTACGTGTCCATGGAAAAGCCCCTTATTTTGGACAACCCACTGCAGAGCAGTATGCAGATCTTGAACAACTGCTGGCTTCTGTGTCAAGCAAATGGGGATAAAAACTTAGCTATTCTCTGATGCAGAACAGTTATTTTAACAGTGAGTCAAAAGTCACTAACCATTTAATTACACTAGTGTTTAAAGTGAATACTGACCTGACTGACTTCTGGTAACTTACGCTTTTTAAGTCTGAAAATGGGCACATGTTGTCCTTGAAGCACAGCTTTGGCGTCCTCTCTCCAGTGTGCAAAAAGTTTGCCATAGCTTAACAGAAAAATTTGATATTGTTAATGTGTCTAAACCTTGAGACAATATAGAACAGAAGCCAAAATATAAATACCTCCTGAGATCAAAGTTCTCCATCAACAGCAAGCACCACTATTTCCGCAAATAGGGCATGTCTGACTGTAAAATATCAATATGAAACATATTTAACAACTTTCAAAAGATTCAAGACTCCATTGCTCTCAAATTAAATAGGATACTTACTATAGTATAATCAAATGGTGCATCCAGTGCCACGTAGAGAGCAGACTGTTCGGGACAAAAAAAAAAAATTACATTGTTTTGGAGCTTAATTAACTTTTGTATGAATCTCAAGGAAAACTGAATAACAGAAAAATAACCATTAGCATGAAGATCCCACAGTCAATTCCAAAGTCTTGGCTCGGAAAACCCTTTATTACAGAGAAAATAAAGGCTAATTAATAAAATCCCTTAAAAGAAGACTAGCGTAATTCATGTAATTCACCATACACTAACACCATTACATACCTTCAAGTCAAAGCTATTTTTTTCTGACCACTGCCCTGGAATGATCTTCACTGCAAGATTCCTTTTTCCAAGACAATTACATTCACGAGTTAACAGACATCATCATGATGGGTGTGAAATGTTAATTGCTAATAGCACCAACTTTAAGTACAGGCCTTAGGAACACGGACTTAGGAACACGTCCTGGACACAATTAACAAAATGTAAAAGTACAGTCAAATGCTCGCAGTTGGTTAAAGTGTGTCATACACAGCAATTTCAGTTTTATTTTCAGGTTGGCATAATTTATAAACTGATTTTTAATGGTGTTTTATGTTAAACACTAGAAGATTTTGAAAAGCCTATTAATGTGTGAAACTCATCTAAAGACAGCATCATTGATTTGAACAGAATGTGAAGATGAGAAAAAGAATCAAGAGGTGATGCATCCTGCTGATATAGTTTATAAGCAAGCATGTGAATGTACTGTATGTGTGAACACTCTAGATCAATAGAACATGATCTGGGATGCACTTAACCTGGAACACTAAACAGGTTCCTGAAAACTCTGGAACAAACCAAACATGCTTATAAAAAAGTGACCTCAAAAGTGAAACATATTGTTGGTCACCAAATCCTGCCTTTGTGTATAATGGGTCAAGAAAGAGGATTTCTCTTTTACGTGGCTTCAGTACCTAAAAGACGGTTGCTCAGGACTTAAAACTTGCAAACAATGTCATTGCAAGTGATCATACACAATACAGTAAAGAAAGATTTTTGAAAATGTGTCATCAAAATTTGAATAGATCACAGACACACAGCAAAATTCTAAAAGTTAGTATGTGGCAAAAAAATAAGACTTACACACAACTGGAAATGGCCAGGTGTCCAGAGACAGCCTGATTGTCAGACATCCTGGTCAAGTTTAGGGTGGTCTGGGCACACCTGGCACAGAGTTTCAAAAGGAATGAGCTGTTTCTCATGTTCCATTTTTTGGGACATGACATCTTCTGGAAGAGATTGAGGATTTTTTTTCTCTTTAAATATATAGCGCATACTCCCTTCCACTCCCTCCTGAGTCATCAGTGATGGGGGGCCTGATGATAGTGGCACATTTGACTGGAAGAGGTCTCTCTCTGTCTGAAAGAGATGCCATTTAGCAATGCTTTTATGAAGGCATGATATTCGTGGCTTTGCACAAGCACAATGCCAGGTATTCCTCTGAGCATTGTAAGTCACAAATATTCTGCCAAGACGACTGAAACTGAAATACAGTTTCCGTCGTCTTGGCAGAATACAGAGAAACATATCTGTGTGGAGGATCCACCAAAATCTACCCTCACACAAAGTGGAACATGTGTCATCTGGAAAGCTTTCTGTCTCCTTATGCATGCCGCAGCCTTGGCCTCTCTGAAGAATTTCAGGACCACCATTTCCATCAAAATAGCTTCTTGAAGAAAAAAAAAATGTATGAAATTTTTTTTTTATACATTACACTTAGCATGTAATAGTGATTTCTCAATTTTACACTGGTAACAATTACTGTTTAAAACCATTGTGCTTTGTGATAACGATTTAGCAGCATAACATGAAAGAACCAAATGAAGATTTGGGGAAAAAAAGTCTATACAAAAAGATACGTATGTCACAAGTATCTTGTAAAGTATGTATTGACATACAATACATACAATTTAACAAAGGCTAACTAAAAAAGCAGTAGAGAAAAGAATAGAGAATAGAAGTATTTATAAATATATAAATCTCTTTGTGAAGAACTTTACAATGTTGATGCAGGTGAAATGAGAGACATGAATTAAGTACAATATGCAGTAAATGGAACAATGTACAGACCTCAGATCTCGAACTCACTAGAACTCAAATTTCTTGAAAGTCGATCAAACCACTTTGACCTAGAACTCGATCTGAATATCAGAAGTCGAACCGTGAACTCCAACCTAATATAAATTGTATGCGCCAGGAAATGAGTCATACTACAACGCAATTCTTACTTGAATGCCTTCTTCACAGACTGGACGATTAACCAAATAAAGCAGCACAACATTACAGTAACTAACAATAAATAAACCACTAACTTACGTGTACTATTAGAGCATTTATGTCATTTATTTAAACTTTATTTTACCAGGTAAATTAACTGAAAACCAGTTCTCACTGCTTTACGTGATATTCGGGAGAAATAGCAGATTACGCATCGGAACTGCCTGGGATACAAACGTCATGCGTGTGACTAAACTCTTCAGCCAATAAGGGCAAAGAGGCGGTTCCAGTTTGTGCAGCCAGGTGAGAGGTCGCAATGCATCTAACCGTAATGCATTGCGTCAGGATCAGAATGCGTTGCTTTAAGCCAGCTGTAAGCAAGTCGAATGCACCCAATGACCGGACTGGGGAAACAAACTGAAACGCGGACTTAATACAGAGGACTAATGACAACAACCAGAAACAGCTGATCACATGGGGATCCCACACGAGGTTAACGAGGGGGCGTGGCACACGGAAGGAGCGGACGATCGGGGCAGGACAGGGGTAATGTTGGGATAAGATCTTTATCGTTTTGGAAGCCATTAAGAAAATAATGCTGTTCTTGTTTTATCCTGATCATTTTGTGTTGAAATGCTAAAAAAACAAAAAAAAAAAAAAAAACATATTTAGGTGTAATTTTGGGGGGCTGGGAACCAATTAATTGGTTTTCCATTATTTCTTATGGGAAAAATTCCATCAGAACTCAAACTTTTTAGGATTCGATCCGGAGTCCGGAACGGATTAAGTTCGAGACCCGAGGTACCACTGTATATTGATGTTACAGATAGTGAAAAGTAGTGAAGTGAATTTGTTCAATAAAAAGCAAAAAACAAATACATTTGAAACTGACTACTATTTGCCAACAATAAATCATTCTAATGCAAAATGTGGTTTAGAGACTATTTTTTGTCATGTAGCCCACAGAAGCCTTTAATCCAGCTCTCTTACTTAAACCAGAGCCAGGAAACAAACATATCTGTGTTTTTCTCTGCCATGGAGCACGATAAAAAAAAAAAAAAAGAAGTTTAAAAATGACCTTCGTTTTAAATATTCTATGTTGTAACACATACAAAGTCAACATGATCAGTGTAAGCGGACTAGTTGATTACTACAATTACTAAAAGCACATTTGTATATGAATGACTCTGTACCAACCTTTACGATCCACTTGCGCGGTTTCCACTGTATCTATACAGGTCACGTGTTTCCGCTTACTGTGGAGCCAGCACACAGCAACATGGCGTCTCTCCGAGTGTGCATGCGGGGAACCGATCATGCAGCTAGCACACATCGGGCACTGACAGGCAGGTCTGTCTCAAGTCGTCTTGCTCTCGCGAGGATTTTGTACCATGTGACATGGTGACGCGTGGTGACGTTTTGCTGCGGCAGACAAAAAAATCTAACCACGATTTGGCTTTTTTTTTTTTGAATAAGTGTTGTTTGTTTGGTTTAGATACTTTTCTACCTCAGAATTTTAAAAAGTTTTTAAGAGATCAAGAATAGTGGAAGATACTTGTTGCAGTCAGTTCTGTCCTGCTTTATTTTATGTTTGCCCTTCAAACATATTTGCAATATTATACAGTTTTGCACATTGCTACATTATTATATGGTTTTGTTCATTTGAGCTATGTTTCTTTGAATACTTGAAAATCAATAACCTTTTATAATTCAGGGAATTTTGTATGTAAAATTTGTTGGAAAATAAGTATTTCTTTACTAATATTGTTTATTTCCATGTATTCATTATTCATTCCAGAATAGGGTTATTTTTTATTATTTTGATTATTACATTATTACATGGAACAGCATTGTGAAACTATAATATTGATAATTATCGATATTGGTCAATACAGGAAAAAATATCGTGATCATTTTTTTTGCTATATCGCCCAGGAAATGAAATGCATGCAATGCTCATGCAAAAGCAGTGGAGCTAAACTTTGAACTGATTTTTAAACATAATACTAGATAATCCTGAAAAGATTGCAAAACATGCCAAGTTTTTTCTCCCCCTATGACAATACGAGAAAAATGTTATAGCGAAACAAACTCCCTGCTCTATAATGTCCATACAGGACTGAAGGGAATTAAAAGTCTGATTTTAATCTGGCTGACTAACGATGTGAGAACTGCATGTGCATAACATGAAATGTTAATATCAGACATCATCCAGTCTTGTAACGCACTACAGGCATTTTTAGAGTTCAGCACAAAATACCCCACCTTGCGTTGTGATGTCATTCAGTGTCGTTACGAGTTTTCAGGCCTACGTGCATTAACTACAGTTGTATTCCAAGAATAGAAATGCATACCAATAGAAAATTGATCTTATTCAACACATTTAAATGTGCTGAAAAATTGTAGGTGAAGAATTTAAAATTTTATGTTATCTGACTTGAATTGAGATGATTCTGTATGCTTCTTTCCATCTCCCCAGGGTATGAAAACAGTGTGGAAGCATTCAGTCCTCCTGACAGTATATGGTGTGTAATATAGTACATGGAAACATCTATAAAGCCTGTTGTAGATTTTTAAAAATTGTAGTGACTGAACACAAGGCAAAGTATCATTACGAAACCTACCTCCCTCTCAAGCTTGCTTTAATGTGAAAGTACACAAAGATGATCAAACCAAATTCAGATAAATTAGATGTATCCATGTACAAAGAAACTATATTGTATAGTGTACAAAGGCTAAAATACATCACAAAGCTCCAGTATTTTATAAGAAATCCATATTAGACAATTGTACAGCACCAAGAGCCAGACAATATGCCAAAATGTGTTGCAGTTCAGATGAGAGATCTTAAATATATACACACACACACATATATATATACATACGTGTGTGCATGCGTGCGTGTGTGTATATATATCTGGGAGAAAAATAAAATAAATATATATATATTTATTTTATTTTTTTTGTGTGTATGGGAGTAGGCCTGAGGAAAGTCAACGATAACGTGGCCTGACTTACAAAACTCAACAGAAAACACACTTAAAAAAGCATTTGTTTTAAGATATAAATTATATCAATCTCCACAGATGTATAAATTTGGCTACTGCGAACACTAAGAAGAATGTTCTTGTACCAGCTTTATAGAGTAATTATACATAAGGCACAAGTCTTCATTCAGCTTCCACATGCACATAATTTTCTATTCTAAGCTTATACATTTATACATTAACACACAACTGAATAAACTTGGCTCTTAATTTGGGTGCAGCAAAAACAGAAGCACGTTTGATACAATTCAAACCCACAAGATGGCATGCTTGTTCCGAAAGAAGAACCGCCTACAGTCATTTGTTGCTGGTGAAGTTCTTGCTGTGTTGCTGTGCATACCATTGTTGTCGCTGCTTTCTTGTATCCACCTCTGAGAGCAAAGCTTGTCGGTAGGCTTCATAGGACTTGACAATGCGCTCCAGTTCTTTCATAAACAGTAGCTTCAACATACCTTGGTATGTGTCTAAATCCACAAGCTGGAACAGCTCCCACTTAAGAATATGGTCATACCTAATGGCAAATAAAGCATAATAATATATGCATTTAGTGTGGTTCTTCCAAATAGTTCTCAAAATTCAGGCAATTTTAATTTCAAGACATTCATAGGGATAGCATCACACAGACATAAATCAGAATGTTCAGAAACTTTTTTTTTTTTTTTTTTACTCACTTCAGGTAGGGTAAAGACATCCAGTGACATTCATGATACATTTCAACATGTTAATAAGGATCAATTTAAATATTCACCTCACCTATAGAACCACTTCAAAATCACACAAACAGACATTTAAAGTTTTGTAATCAAATGTGAACTTGGAATAAGTAAAAAAAAATAAAAAATAATTCTTGGACAAACTGGTGTGGATGGTGTCTCATGTCCTGTCTGTTTACCCCAGTAAATGTGCAGCACATAAAACCCCTGTGAGTTTTCCATTAACCTTTTGTAATATATGTATATATGTATGTAATTAACAGTTTAACATACACTTCTAAATTTTATATAATCCATGAAGAGTGAGCTAGATATGTCTGCGTAGCTAGTCAGCAGAGTCTTTGCAGCAAGGTGAGAGGTTGATGACCAGGCAGCATTGCCATAAATCCAAACATCACTCACACGCACACCATTCACCATTCATGTTTCCAACAGATTCTCCCCACTCAGTGAATAACCCACTTAGACACCTGTTGAAAGTTCTCTGATAACTGGAGACCATTTTAAGAAATGTGACTGGAGCGACACCAACAACCACAGTAAATAGTCTCCTTGGTGCCAGAGCGACCCACATCTCAGCAAATTTCAAATTACTGGCTAAGGGCAAATGTAAATTCTCTCAGATTGTTATGCACCTCCCTCGGCACTAATGAATGTCCAGTTGAGGCAACTGTAGATCAAAGAAACTAAAATTTGTAGAGGTGTACAACCTTGCGAAGATGATCGTGCCAGTAATGTGTTCTGGCCCTGTCCTTAATAGATGTGGCAATGTACGCCAGATTATTGTCGCTGCGTCACTGGCTGTCTGAGTGGAGCCCAGAAAATGGTGAGGTCATACAGACAATTGGGAGATGTTTTAGTGTAGGCCTGGGCTTTTCACCCCTCACGGGCTGAGAAATTTAATGTAGACAAATGTAAGGTTATATTTCTGCTCCCTGCATGGATTAAGTACAGATACTTTATGGGTTCCACTGAAATAAAGGTAGCTGATTACGAGAAAGATCTCGGTGTGTATGTTGATGCTTCCATGTCCCACTCTCGCCGGATCCAATTGTTGACAATTTGGCATGATCATGGATCTGTTGGTTTTTCAAAACTTTTGCTGGATGTGTTGTAATAGCAACACATCCAAATCCTCGAACCTAATCGGAGCAGGTTTGTTCTACGTAAACAAGGATTAGCTCACACAATCAGTGTCAGTGCATGGTAATCCGTTCAGTCATGGCCTTGCCATTGATGAATGAGTGCCCAATTGATATCGGTGCGCAAATTATGAGAATTTCGTATAGAGAGGGTTTTGCGCGATCGGCAAGATCCTTTATTGCACCCGGAGGAAATTCTTTTAGAATGATACCGCTTTAGCTGAGGGGGAATATTGTACCTCAAAGATGTATTAGGACCTAATAGTCAAAAGTCAAACTAGACGAAGTATATATAAGTGTATGTGTGTATATTATATTGTGCTTATGTTTGATCTGGAATTATGACATACAGTAAAATCCCGTTATAGTGGACTTGCTTATAATGGAATATCATCTGTAACGGAGAAGGTCCGCTGGTCCTGGCCGTGCACATTTAAGAACATGAGGAAAAATCAACGGATATAGCGGACTTGCATATAATAAAATTTTGCTTATAAAATGGACAAACAATTTGGTCCCCAGGGCCACTTTTAGCTGTAGTTTTTTTCGGCTATAACGGAAATGCAGGCTCCGCCTAAAAAGCGTGTGGCATGCAGGTGATATCCAGCGCAGATACGTAGTTGGGATTATTAATAGTCACGCATCTGGTCAGGTAAAGTTGGATTACTACATGTGCAATATAATAATCTGTACCACAAGTATGTCTGCTGGGGTGTGGCATGAGTAAATGGTGTCCTGTAGTTATGTTCTGCACGTACAGCAACTCCGGATATAACGGACTGTTTTGCCAGGTCCCTTGAAGTCCGTTATACCTGGATTTTACTGTATTAATTAATTAATCTAACACATAGGAAATGAAACACTGTATTCAGTAAGTACAATGAACACTACTTCCACGTTTAATTTGTCAGCCACTTTTTGCCAGTCGTCTTTTCCAGTTTGGGCTGCTTTTGCCATGTCATATCCTTCTAATACGAGGTCCTGCTCTGCTTGTGTGAAAAGGTGCGCCCTTCCTTTTGTCATTTTGTTAAGGAGTAGTAGTAGTAGTAGTAGTAGTAGTAGTAGTAGTAATGTGAAAGCTGAATTCAATAAGCTTATGATCAGACACCAAAGACTGAACCAGATACAGAAAGATTATTCAAACCACTAGAAAAGAGCAAATCAAGAATATGACCATGAATACTAGTTGACACTGCATGTTAACTTGCCAAGTTAAAACATTGTAATACTGAGAAACTCAGATGAGTAAGAGCAATCAGTATCAACATGGATATGAAAGTCACCTAGCACCATAATGGAAGTGCAGAGAGGTAACTGTGAGGAGTTCATTAAATTCTGACAGTAAGTTAGCAGCAATTTTAGAAGGGCGATAAACTAACAACAGCACCAATGGATAGGAGAAAACAACCGTCAGAGCAATATATTCAAAAGTAGTGACATCAAAAAATAAAAGTTTTTTCGATTTAACACAGATCAATAAACAACAGCCAAGCCACCCCCTCTTCCAGTTAAACAGGATTTAAATAGGTAGTTATAGCCCAGGGGAGTCAGCATGTTTAAATTTAAATAGGCACCAGGGTATTCACAAGTTTCTGAAAGACAAAGTATGTCCAGATTCTTCTGGATCATGAGGTTGTTGATCAGAAAGGCTTTATTGGTTATGGAACGAGCATTCAAAAGGATACGATTAAAGTCAACACGGCCGGGAGCAACAGGTGCACACAGATGTGGAAAAGAACAAAGATAGTCATGAGTTATTCCTTGGATGGTTTTAATGTCACACTGAAGAACACGATCATATGCCCATACAGTCGGGATCGACGCATTGGAGCCATAAAAAAACCAAGGGTTCTCTTTCAGATAAGTGTATGTAATGAGGGCATCAGGCAATTCAATGTTACAAAGTTCAACCTGACAGTATACAAGCTCCATTGACGACAAATTTAAATGGGTTTCACGCAAGCTGAAGCGCAGATGGCACTAAACTAAACTAGAAGCTGTCAGAGCCATGCTTTGTATATTTTGCCACCGACAGCGGGGGACATGTAGTTGTAGTCCCTCTTGGTATATTTTGTCAATCGAGATCTACCAGCTTTTCCATTAATCTTCTCACAATCCACTTGGAAACACATCGGGTTGTGCACCTCTAGTCTAATAAAGTTTGTTAGATACATGCTATTAGTCATTTTATGGTAGGCCACTGAGTGACAATTATCAGTCTCAAATGAACCCCCTGCGAATTTAATACCTACAGCAAATTTATTCACATTTAAGACAATTTATGACTTTAAATTTCCCTGATTCTATTTTTAAGAACTTTTAAGACTTAAGGAGCCAGGGGAGCCCTCATCATCTACCTGCTGCACTATACCTACTCCTACCTAGACAAACCAGCAGCTTTTTTTGATTACTCAAGTGCCTTCAATGCCATCCAGTCAGTATGCAGTCAGCCATACAGATGGAAGCCCCCTAGTAGCATGGATTACAGACGACCTGATTGTGAACCCACAGTATGTCCATTTTCAGGATTCTGTGTCTAACAAGGTCCTGAGCAGCACCGCAGAACTGCAGGGGACAGTCTTTTCCCAGTTTCTCTTCTCCCTGTATACCTCGGACTTCAAGCAAATCATGGAGTCCTGCCATCTGCAGGAAGTTGCAGATGATTCTGTAGAAGTTGGTTGTATACGAGAGGGAGACAATGCGGAATATATGAGTGCTATAGACAACGTTGTCAACTAGTGTGTCCTGGATCACTTGCAGCTCATCATTTCCAAGATGAAGGAACTGCTAGTGGATCCTACGGTCTCTGGTAACCCCCTTGCCCATTCAGGAAAAGAGGCAGAGATGGTACAGGACTACAAGTATCTCAGTGCCCACCTAGACATCAGGCTGGAATGGTCAAAGAAGAGTACTGCACTTTACAAGAAGGGCCAGAGAAAGGTTGTACTTCTTGAGGAACTTGACTCCTTTACAATTTACAACACCATGTTGCAGATGTTCTTCAAGTTTGTGGCAGCCTGCACCTTAATTTACACTGCTGAGGCCTGGGACAGAAGTGTGGAGGCGACTGATGACAGACTCAAGAAGCTGATCAGGAAGGTTGGGTCAATACTAGGGGAGGGGCTGGACACTATCGGCACTGTGGTGAAGAGAAGGATTCTGTCCAGACTTCAGTCGATCATGGTTAGGCAGACAAGCAGATTTAGTGAGACTCCTCGGTATAAATGTTCCACTAAACACCTCAGGAAATCATTCCTTCCAACAGTTATCAGATTATACAACCAGAACACCACCCTGGGCACATGTGCCATACTACCAATTTCTAGAAATCTCTCCATATCTATCTTTGTGGAGTAATTACCAGCAAATTTGTAGTTTGTCACAACAGTATTGCACCTATTTTCATGCTCACCCACTTATTACCATTTTCATGTACGTACTTACCATTTAGTTTTATATAAAAATTGTATGCGCCATTGTGTATTTCTATTTTTGTCTTCTGTGCATCTGTGCACAATGCAATCTGCAACTACAATCAATTTCCTCCCAGATAAAATTATTCTTATTTATGATGGGACTGGCCTACAGCTTCGCAGCCCAAGTGCCCATGCACATCCATGTCTACCACCTAAAGTGCCTACAATGGGCACACAAGC